TTTGTTACTATATTAAATTCATACTTTTTAAAAGCTTGGTGAGATGAAAGTTATGTATCGGGATAAGAGTTATCCTTGTTTCTGATTGGGCCCTGCACTTTGTTGGGCTGCATAAATCAGTGGGGTTTTAACTGCTTCAGGGTTTAAACTGAAGTGAAATTGGGTTTATTTCAGTAAAATACTCATATATGGTTACTAGCCATGTGTTAGGGTGAAGATTTGAAAGAGAACTGTCTGGTGCCGTTGGATGCAATTTCTATCTTGCACTATCCAGGATTTTTAGGAGAGGAGTTTTGCATCATGCAGACCATTGAAGTGCAGCCAGTTTTCCAAGGCATGATGGTCACTTTTTGTCATGATAAACTGACAGTTGTGTGACTCACTGCATTTGGAGTCTCCTGAGTTAGTATGGCTACCACACCTCAAGTCAAATTTGTGCCGCAGATGAGAAAATGTTTTGATCGTTAGTAGTGTTATAAATGACTGAGTCCCCAAACAGGATTGCAGTTAAAGTTTACAGTTTATTATGTGCATTTAAGCAAGCAAACAGCGCTGGGTGCGCGGGGAGTCTCTGCTCTACCAACACACACCGTACAGGTTTGGGTTTCCATTTATGAACCCCTTGTTAACACATATTCCTGACTGTCCCGAGGAGAGGAGGTATCTTTGTTGGGCCATGCTCACTTTGCCTCCTTGGGTCCTCCTGAACTTGCACAGGCTCCCGAGCACAAAATGTTCTTAACAAACAAACTATATTACAAGTATCTTTGCCCACCGCCGGGCACACCCGCGGGGGGGGCGGCAGCGGTGCCCGGGCTGGGCCCTCCTAGGTCCTGCTCAGCTTTTAGTGCTTAGCTATGTGTCATAGCAGCTTCCAACTCCAAACAAACAGCGTCACAAAAAGTATATGGCTTATATTAACAAAACAATATTAAGGTAGCTATTCATATAGATTCCAACACTGCTTCATATTGACACGAACCAGGGGACCATATATCACAGTAGAGTATATAACAGTGGGATGGAATCATGAAGTTTCTGGCTTACAATTACTGTTCATATTTGGTGCGCTCTTGTTTTGTACGTTTAGGAAACAATTGAATTTTTATCAATGTGAAGTAAACACTGGCAACAATTTTGACATTATTTTGCAGGACCTTGTTTTCATTTTTAGTTTGCTAGACAGGGAATGTCATCATCTTATCTTGCTTTCTCTGTAGAGACTTCTGCCTGCATAATCTCCAGTTAAATCATAGGTAGGTGAAGGCAGTCAGAAGAAGTCTAAACTGACTTTTGCCTTGAGCTCCCTGCCCTGAGGAGAGGAATCTACACTTGTGAAGTGTAAAAGGCTGGTGAACTCTCCCTTGCTTGTAATAAAGTTTGTTTAAACAAAGCTTACTCTACCCTGACTTATACTATTCAGTGAATATTTTGCTTGTGTGTTTTGAGGGTTGTGTTTGTGTGGCTGCACAGTGTAATACTTGGGTGCATGCAGTGGTATTCCATCAGCACAAGCCCAAAGGCAGGTCAGGTTTAGCACTGTAACTGCAGCTGCCATTCAGCCAGGCAGTTGGGCATTCCCCTGTGATCTCTGGTGTATTGTGAGATGGCAGTTTGAAAATCTTGGGGAGGGTGGGTAGGTTTTGTACAGCTTAGATATTCATTTCTCCTTGCTGTCCACATTGTATGCTTTCTGTGTAGCTCTAGTAATACAGAGCTGTGCCAGAAAGAAATCAGCCTAAAAGAAACAAACAAATATGATGGTTGCCATGGAGGCTTCCTGATAGCATACAGAAACATATGCACACGTGTGTGCTCTCCACCTATGGAATTCAGGTTGTGTCTTGTGCTGCCCTTGTTTACACAGATTTAAGTGGAACTAGTATAAAAAGAGTCTGCTGGGAAAGTTGGTATTTTGGGAAGATCATGATCTTAAAGAGGGATTTTTATTATCCACAACTTTCTGGTATCCTGTTCCTCCATTTGTTTTTTGGTGCAGGAGCTGTGTATCCTGCCTTGTGCCAGTGGGGGCCACAGTCAGTTGCTGAGCAGTCAGTAGGCTCAGCAGTTTCACTTCCTGCAGACCAGCCTTTCTGGGCAGGATGAATTTCTGTTTAAAGGGTCAGTGAGACAGTTCTAGAGGAAGCCAGAGGGACAAAATCAGGGTGCAGGGGTGCTGAAGGAGATTACAGAGACCACAGTTTAACACAGGACAGGAGCATTTCCAGGAAGGGCGAGAGAGGACGAAATCAAAACTGAAACTAGTGAAGATAGAGGAAGAACGATGGGGAAGGCACAGTCCTTCAAACTGCTGCGTGATAGGAGAAGCCAATCTGGCAAGAGCCAGCCTGGGCTTGGTCTTCTCCACAAAGCCACGGCGCAGATCGCAGCATGCTGGCACTTTACACTGCAGCTGAAGCCTTGATTAAGGTATGACACAAAAAAACTGGTGCAGGGAGAGAGACATGCCGAGGCTTGGGATGACAGAAACATTTTGGACCTGAAGATCAAATAACGTGTTGCTCTGTGCTGCTCCCAGCCTTTGGATAAAGGGAAAACTTGTGTCAATGAAACATGTCAGACAAGTTTGCTCATTGTTACTAGTGTGTGTTAAAATAGGCTAGGGTGGGTCTGAGAGGGACTTCAGAGAAAGCAGGTAAGTCATGGAATCTGCTGATACAGCGGGACAGGGGACTGAGATCTTTTTTAATGGAAAGATATCACTGATTCACCCTTCCCTCACTGTCTTTTAATTAGGATCTTTGTAGTAGACAGCAAAGTATTGAACTGTGTCCTATGCTAGAAAGCCCTAGGTATTCATGCTTAGTGCGTTCCCTTAAAACAAAAGCAAAACCTGGATACTTTTGTGACTTTTTTACCATTTTTTCTCACAAGTTCTGTAATAGTCAGTTTTCTGAAGCTGTAACTGTGATAGGTGGAGTAGGGATCTGCTGCTTTATTACCAGTTTATAACTTTGTTGTAATGTACTTCTTGTAAGTCACGTGACAGTACAGCCTATTGTACAAAAGGCAGACCTTTTCCTGGATATTTGAAACATAGCCTATGGCTGTCTCACGTTTTTCAGAGTTGTTCCACTACTCCTCCAGCCTGTCCTCCAATGCAAGTGATGCAAAATACTAACAACACATTATTGTTGTTGTTGTTGTTGTTGTTACTGTTATTATTAAGTTTGCTTGTTGTGACTTTAATTTAGTAAAGTGTAAGAAAAAGACAGTGGCAGTTAAACATTGTTTTAGTTGTGCTCCCTGTAATTACAGACAGCCTTAAATATAGCATATAGGTGGCATATCTGTTCTAACTGCAGTAATTTGATGGATTTGAAGCATACAGTCTTTGAGAAATAAAAATGAAAATTCCCTTTACAAGAAAGATTTGCTTTTATAAGCACATCCCTTAAAGGAAAGGCATGATTTATGTGAGAAAGAAGATAACTTCATAACTAGCTATGAAGTATTCTTCTCTTTCCTGAGTGGATGTAGAAATATAAAGTCAGATCTGAATCATAAGGATAAGCACATTCAGATACTAGTGGTTTAGTTGTGAAATGGGCTGAATGGTATGGATTCTAGCCTGTTAAAAAGTTCAGCTTGAATGGATTTAAAGAACATAGTATTTGGTGTCAGAGCATGAATAATATGTGCTGCATCACAACACATTTTGCTGTTTTACCTGTTTTTAGAAAGACAAATATTTTAGATTCAGCTGTACATTCACTCTTGCTAACCAACAGAATGCTGACCAAGGGCATGCCACAAAAATCTGCTTTTCTGTAGAGTGGTCCTTGGAGGAGAGGGGAATACAATTGTCTGCTAATCATTGTTATTATCAGTTAGTCACCTGGACTGCCTTGGAGTTGTCAGCCTGGTACTGAAATGTTTGCAGTAGCAGAAAGATTAAAATGGATTGCATAGTATTCCAGTAGAGTAGAAGTAGGAAGTTTAAATTTGCCATTGTCAACTTTTCTGTCTCCTAGTGAGTTCAATGGGACAAGAGACCTCTACTGAATGCATTTCTACAGTTTCTCTTCAGAGGTTCCTAGGTGTCTCACATAAGGCAGAGAGAATAAAGTGGCAAATGGTTCTTTTACTAGAGGGAAGTAGAGGCAGGTCCTTCAAGTGTCAGGGTGAGATAGTTGAAAGGCTTGCACTTGGTATTTTCTAACCTTCTCTTGTGCTCAAAGGTCAATCCATAAACCTAGTTTAATATTTCTTGAGTTGATGCAGGAAGTGGGAGTGAACGGACGTGGTATTTCATGCTCAATGAAACAGAGATAATTTGGTAAGAATTTTCCTGGCCTTTTTAAAAGGGTTGACATGATCTGTATTTCATTTGAATATTACAAATTGATTGAGAGCTGGGAACTGCGTTTTAATTGATGCAGATAAACCAAAACAGGAAGAGGTGTTTTGGGTATGCTGACCATTGTCAGAAGCAGTGTATAAAGAAAGGTGAAACCAGATAGCTTAGAGTAGTTATACTCATGTGGACTCTTAGGTTTGTTACAATGTAAAACCTTTGTTATGGTGTAAAACTTACCAGGCTCATTTATTACATAGTCTGTATTTCAGACTGGTAAGTGCCTGTTGCTGTCAAATGGGATCAAACCTCAAAAAACCTTCGAAATCCCAAACCCAAATGAAAACAGCAGCAGCCTGCCAGGATTGTACAGCCTGTATGTTGGTACTTCCTGGTGTCTAGGCACACCATAGGAAGCAAAAATGATCCGTGACTTTCTCTGTTAATGTCACTTAGTGTAGAGGTTATAATATTCCTTGTTAGGTCAAGAAAACTGCAAGAACTAAGCATCAAAGCTATGATACCAAGACAGCCTCTCTCTACTGAAGTACTTTTGATTGCATGTATTTATTTTGGGCTATTCTACACGATGTGGTACCTTTTATAATCATGTTGTCATACTACTATTACTGACAAATGAAATCAACTGCTGCTTATGTTTAGATCCAAATCCTGATGTGAAATGAGTACAGACTTCCACAGACTCCTTTTTGACATTTCCGAGGCTTTGGTCACAGATGAACTGGCAGCGCTGAAGTTCCTCAGCCTGGAACACATCCCCATGAGGAAACTGGAAGCCATCCAGGAGCCCAAGGCCTTCTTCCAAATCCTGCATGAGAAAGACATGATCGAGGCAGGAAAACTGGACTTCCTGAAGGAGCTGCTCTTCCGGATTGGCCGGATAGACCTCCTGTCTGACCACCTGGGCTCCAGCCGAGAGCAGATGGAGAGAGATCTGCAGGCCCCAGGCAGGGCACAGGTGTCAGCTTACAGGTACACCTTTGCATGCAAAAGTGTGCAACAGTTGTGTTGTGTACTGTCTTGTTTTCTGTCTCCACCGTTGTCTTATGAATATCTCAGCATAGCTGAATTTACTACAGCATGGATTTCTGCCATTGTGAGTTTTACATTTTGCAGTTCAAATGTGTTTGCTTCTCATAAATTTCTTGAACAGTCTCTTTCTATTCTTTATTGTCAGGCAACTGGTATATGGAATTGCAGAGGACTTGACTCCAGAAGATGTCAAATGTCTGAAGTTCCTGCTCCAAAAACAATTACCAAAGAGCAAGCTCCAGGATAATGCTGTATGCAAATTGATCTTGAGAAGTTTTTTGCAATGCTAGCTTAGAATCCACTAGTTCTTGTATGAAGGGAGGAACAAGAAAGCAGTCTGCTCTCTGAAAATCTGTTGATGAAAGAACTGTGTGAAAGAAAGGACCCTTATTTTTCTCACTGTATTTTTGCTCTGCCCTTTTTTGCTCTCCTGATCCTATTTTCTCTCCACCAACTGTCTCCCTAATATCTTCTTCTTGCAAAATCCATCATCCTTTAATCTTTGCTTGGTATTTATAAGACATTTGTACATATGCTGTATCTTGGAAGAGTGATGTTTTCTACAGGAAAAACAATGTTTTGGAGTCAGAAAATCAAGCTCTAATGCAAGTTCAACTGCAAACTTTTGCTTGTCATTTGGTACATTTTCCTCTTTATTGTAATTTGAAGTAACAGCATTTCGTTAACTTCCCCCAAAACGTATTAAGAGGTTTAATGATCTAGTTTAATACTTGCAAATAATGAACAATGTTGTAAAAATGCTTGGTATTATTAATGTGCTTCCTTAAAAGTCTTATTTGTATTGTGGCACCTAGAGGAAAATTAGCAGAATTACTGCCAGCTTGGTGGACTATTGAACTTTAATAAACAAAATTAGGCCTGAACACCTTTTCTGTAACAGAAAATATAAAATGGCTTAGCTAAAAGACTAAAGTGAACTTCATAGGAAGACAAAGGCATAGCATTCCATGTTGTTATCCACATCAGTGCTTTATACAAAGCAAGATAACCTAGCTATAGGCAATTTCCAGTCATCCTGTCTTAACCTCAGTGATGTGTTTGTTCAGTTGCATTGCATCTTGACCCTTGTTTTAATGAGGTTTGGGGGAAAAAATAATTGGTCTTTAGCTGGTCAGTCTCTGGGAATGAGGAGGATGTCTTCTGTTCTGTCTAGAGGTGCCTGATAATGCAGTTATTGAAGGTCACTGTATGAGTTTAGGTTATGTGTTTTTGTTTTGCCAGTCAATGTTGCAGGTCTTTCTGGAAATGGAAAGAAATGGGATAATTAAAGAAGATAACCTGACAGTGCTGAAAGATCTATTAATGAGATTTAGAGCTGACTTAAAGAAAAGAATTGATATCTATGAAGAAAAAAGAAAGGGTAAATTTATTTAACCTGATGTTTAAGAATAGAGCTGAAGGGGTTTTGTGGGGTTTATGGTTCCATCTTGGCAGCTCAGGAGTCCAGAGATAAGAGAGAGACTTTATGGTATCCTAGCATAGGCAGAGTGGCTCTTGAGTGAAGTTTTCTGCTACTTCATTATCCTATTGTACATTCTTGTGTCTGTTCTTGAAATTTGTTCTGTGACTTGCAAATGGTCTCCTTCTCCCTTCTCTTTGCCTTAAATGCAATTTTTCTGTTCAGGAAAAAATGCAGTGCTGGTTTTGGACCAGCATAGCTTTTCAGTCACTGAAAAGCACTGGAAGTGACAGTTGACTTGGGAAAACTTGTATTGGGAGATTGTCAGCAGTTCCTGCTGTTAGCCAGGCTGTTTGCTCTTAGTCAAAATCCCTGAAGAACAGGTACTTTGCTAAAGTGTAACTATTAACTTTCTGTAACCAGATGGGAAATTTCAAGGGCTTCAGCATATCTGGGCTGAGGTGGTGCCTTCTGACACCACAGCTGGGCCTTATTTTTGGGAAACAGGATGTCTCAGCCAGCAACCACTGAGACCTATTAAATTTTTCCTCAGAACGTCCATTTGGATGATGCAGGACATATTTCCTTAGACACATGCAGAGGTACTGACTAGTTTCCCCAGCATGTCTTTGTGCTGCTGATCTGTGCTTGTGTCTCTAAAAGAGTAGAAGAAATTTGCCAAGGGTGGCTAGTGTAACCAAGGCCTGTCTCAGGGCAATGGCTTTTTAGTAGGATTGTTATTATTTTGTCCCCATTGGTAAGCAGAAAAAGAGCATGTCATGTAGATCTTCTTGCCCTGACAATTAAATTTCATTTTAAAAGATCCGTGTAACTTGTAAAAGGGTACTGTCACTTTATTTCCTTGGTAGAGGCATGGGTTTGATGATTTTTTAAACTTTTTTCAGAAAGTTGTATTCGAATAAGTGTTTTGTTGCTTTGAGGAGGTCTTCTGTTATGCAGGTATTCTGCACCCTTGGGGCATCCACCCAAACAGTAATGTTCTCTGGAGAAGAGACAATGGCCTCAGAAGTAAATGGACCAGCTGTAGTGTACCACTGTGTAAAAATGAATCTCTTCTTTCACTTATGTACCCCATAGTGGAGATGCTACTGAGTGGCTTGCCTGGGGTGACTACCCACATTCAACCTTTTATTATCTGTATCTTACAACCAGTAAAAGAGCAGAGAAGTGGAGCACAGCTCTGCATAGCTTCTATAATAACCAGTAGTCTGTGAAACTGGAACCAAGCTTGGCCCAGCTCTGCAAAATTGTCGTGTCTCACTGATGTGAAAACTGCCCTCCACCTCACTTATTGTACTTGGTTTTGAGTGTTGAAATACACACGGTGGAAAATTTATCTTTTTAGTCCTAAATTGTTCTATTTATCCTCTCCTTCTTAGAAAAGTATTCCAAGGAAGAACTCCCGAAAAAATTCCAAGACAAGAAGCAAAGGAGGAAACAAAAGACCTAGTAAGAAATACCTCAAAACTGCCTTTAAAGTATTTGTCTAACTCCTGGGAGGGGGAGCATAAATTCGTAAGACTTAAGCAGGTGGAGCAGCCGAGAGGGAGGAGTTCTGGCCTTATATGTAGTCCTTGGAACAACTCCTATTTTCAAAACAAGACCAAACCTTCTTCCTTTGTGGGGACCTGACTGTCAGCAACCTTTCAAGCAAGAAATGAATGAGTAGCTGTTGTGTGAATACCAGTCTTACTGATAATGGTGACTGGGACATTAAAGTCCTGGCTACGATACTCTGGGACAGGTGGGAAGGGAACAGCAGGACCTGATACCTCACTGGAATCCCACAAGGACACTCAGGGTGCAGGAACCTTTCGTCTGCACATGCAAATTTGTGTTTCTGGTTACTCACATTCTCCCATGTCAAAATAATATCCTCACCATAGAGAGAGAGGAGGAGGGAATTCAGGGACACAGTGCAGATTCCTCACCTCTGTAGCTAGATTGTATTCTTAGGCTGCTCCTTTCTTGTTTCTTGGCCCCTGTGATGTTTTTGTGCTTGGATAATGAAGGACCAACAGTCTTTGTATAGCATTTTTCTGTTTGAATGCTTGGCACTGTTTTCTTACCTCATTTTTTTTTTTGTTGTTTTTATAGCCTGTGAAAACATATAAGATGAAAAATAACCCCCATGGTTACTGTGTGATTCTTAACAATCACGTTTTTAAAAATCTGGATTGCAACAGAGAAGGAATAGTGAAAGACAGAGGTAAGTACTTTTTTAATCCAATTACTGGTTTTTTGGGGTTTTGATAATTCTCCAAAACAATTATCTAATCTTTCCTGTGAAGAAAAGATTTCCTTTTCACTTTTTGATTGGTTTCAATTCATATAAAAATATTTTAAAGTCCTTCAATTCTCTTCAATGCTCAAATAAATGCACTGTAATTTTCCTTAAAGCCAGTCTTCCTGCAAATCACCTGTAAGGTAAACAAGAATTTATCTTTAAAAAGTAAAATCTGTCTCATGAAAGGACACATCATGGATATTTTAACTCAATCCAGCTACAGGCTGCTTCCTTTCCAGATGCATTCTCACTACCCACACAACAGTTAAGTCACTATTTGCTGAGAAGTTTTCATAGCATTTGTGAGCAGGTCACTCTGCCTTCCTTCTTGCTTCATTGATCATTCTCACAGAATGAGGGACCTACTCCATTTAAGAGTGGCAGATTTTGTCATTCTAGAGAGGTACTTCTTTAACTCACCAAATGTCGTTCTTAGGCATCTGAGATTACTTTGCAATGCACTGCTAAAGTTTGCTTTAGCACAGTAAACTTCACTAATTTGTACTGATTAATCATAAAGTCTGAAACCTATTTTTGTTTTAGATAGCATGATACTTAACCCATTTGTGTTTAAAAAAGTAAAATTAGGCATTTGGGTTTTTCTAATAAGATTTGGCAGGCTAAGAGTCAGTTAGCTAAGTTTATTGGTAAGATCTCAACACTTCTGCTAATATCTGATCTACAACACAGACACTGATATTTCAGCATCTTCCTTGTCACTGTTTAACAAGTTCCTTCTGATTTTTTTTCCCAGAGGCTGTGAAGAGGGTCTTTCAGTGGCTTCAGTTTGAGACAGTTGAGTACATAGATCTAGAAACAAAACAAATATATGAGAAAGTTAAAGAATACAGCGATAAAGATCATAGTAACATGGACTGTTTTGTTTGCTTCATTTTTTCCCATGGTGAGTTTATAAATACTGAAGATTTACTCTCCTTCTTCAGTGGATCTAATTGTTCTTCTCTTGCTGGCAAACCCAAGCTGTTTTTCATCCAGACTTGCCAAGGCTCCGTAGGTCATCCAGCAGTTCAGGTAGAAGGAGACGTTTCTGGATGCCTTGAGACAGATGCTACCCCTCTGACCTCCATTCCTGATAAGGCTGATATTCTAGTTGTCATGGCTACAATGGAAGGCTATGAATGCAGTATTGAGACTGGCAGTGTTTACATTCAATGCCTCTGTGACCAGATCAAGTTGCTTTGCCCATTGTAAGTACTCTTTTTTAATCCCATTTGGAATATTGCACCCATATGCATTTAAGCATGCTGTGCTGAACATCAGTGTTTTGCATTTATGCTATATATGTATAAGATATATGTATATTTTCATTATACAGCAGGACAATACCAAACAGTAATTATTTTGGAATTGGCCAATGTATAAGTGACTTCCCATAGTTTGCCTGTTACAAAACCAGGGTTGTAATGCTGGAATATTACACAGAAACATGTGTATATACTTATGTGTGTGTGAGCTTTTTAACATTTTTTGGCTGATGAGTGATTTTTATTCCATTGACACCTGACAAGAGGCTAATTTGTTGAGTGACTGCACAGACAAAAAAAAAATTCAGTCTTCTGTAGTCAATTCTCATTGTTGCCTCCTCCCCATCCAGTCATAAACTTGATTTAGAAAATATAATTTCTCTTCAGACATCACTTTCTCATGGTGTCCAGAAAAAGACACGGAAAACGTATAGGTTTGGATCTGTTTCATCTTAGTGCACTCTTCTGACTATAACCAAAGCAGGGAACTGTGTTTGCTGGTAAAGAGATGATACACAGAGGTTTATTCCCCCAAACACACTGAATTCTGTGGTTACACAATGGAGTGTGCCATCTCAGTGACAGGTAGGGTGAGGGGAAGATATCAGCTTTCCCTGAAATACTGCTTTATTGGAGCAAACATAGATCAGCTTATTGTCCAAACTGCAAGTACCATATATTTCAATATAACTTTTCTTCATTTTCATTCAAGCCGCAAGGATCTCATGACCATCCTTACAAAAGTGAACAAGAAAATGGAAAGAAAAGTATCTGGAGAATGCAAGCAGGTGGCAAAGATATCAACAACACTACTGAAGCAATTGATCTTCGAAATTCCAAACTGTCAGTCAAGTGAAAAGTAGAAAGATAAGAATACAGTCAGTTAGTAATCACATCTGGACTGGGCTTCCACAGGGAAGAGAGTTTACAAGAGAAGTTATCTGGATCTGTGCAGTTAGCTCCAGTCCTTTAAGGAGCCATGGGACCTAAATTTTCTGATTCCCATATTTAGTCAGTCTTCTGACACCTGGATCTGTAGCAGTTGGGTAAGGCTGTGGAAGAGTACAGATCTGGCTTCCTGTCCTGCAGAAGCAGTGGAGTATCTTGTCTGGTTTTCAAGTGAGGAAGCACTTCGAAGTAGTATGATTTTTAAGAGTTATTGGAAATGTCAATAAAGTCCCATTTGTGTCTGAGTTGTTTTAAGTCCCTGGAATCTGAAGAAAAGAACAGGTAGATTCAGAATGCTAGATCACTTCTCAGCGAGCATGTGCACAGTTGTAACTGCCTTAACCCAGAGGTGAATCGTTGTCTGTCTCCAGAAGGTATAATTTTTCGTGGAAAATAACATCCAGCTCCAGAAGAACAAAAAAAACCATGCTTATGATAATACAAGTTTCATTCTTTTTTTCCTCCCAAATATTTGCTTTGCTTTATGCTATTAATTTACTTGGCTAAACAGCACTGCTGTTTCCATTTTTAATAGTAAGTGTTCTAATTGTAGTTTTTCTCAGAGCTCTCAAAGGACAGTGTGGCATGAATGGCTGTGGAATGTTGGAAGGAAGCTCCTGTGTACTCTTGTTTCTGTTGTAACAAATTCTCTCAGTTTTTATACCACCTTTGTTTGTTGTGTGTTCCTCTGTTGGATGAGCTGTCTGAGGGACAGTCAGCATGACAAACAATTTTTGCCTCCTCAGCACTGTAGGAGCTGTAAGGGATTCTAATGGCTACATGCTTTTTGAGTTTATAATAGGGTAAAGGATGAATCTGAGACATTTTGTAATTTCTGCTTTTTTAGTTTGGATTTTTTTTGCAAATCCATGCCCAGCCATAAAGGAGGGGTTCTTTATTGCATCCTGTTCGTGTTCTTCCAGCAAAACTTTTTTTTTTTCCTGATTCCACACACTGTGTTGGCAGTTGCTTTTTGCTCCCCTTACCCTTTTTCACCTTCCATGTACAAGTGGGAATGCCCATTCTCAGAATTACAGCTCTGTTGACACTGGTTTCATAAAAAATAGACACTACAAACACTATGTAAATGATACCGCAACAAAAGTTACGAGGTGGTACCAGGTGTTATGTGATTCTGTGGCTGACATTTGGTTAACTATTTAGGAAATGTGGCAACAATTTATTTAAATTTTTATAATGTTTTCAGAAATGAGACCCTGATATGAAGTTAGCAATTAGATTTGTGGATGTTGCTGTGTGACAAGGGAATATAGCTTAAATTAAATAAAATTGGAGAGCCATGGATTTGATGGGTGGACCACTTGGTGGATAAAGAACTGGCTGGACAGTCGCATGCAGAGAGTTGTGGTCAGTGGCTCATTGTCCATGTGAAGGCCAGTGAGGAGTGGTGTCCCTCAGGGGTTGGCCATCTGGCCATGACAATCCCAGGCACACCTACAAGTTGGGCAGGGAAGTAATTGAGACCAGCAACAAGG